ATTTGAGCAATTAGTTTGCATCATACCACCATCAAGTAACTATCTTCTACCTGAATCTTTACGTGACCTACTTACAAATCCCGAGTCACCTCTGAAGGATTTTTTCCCGAAAACATATCAAACAAAACGTAATGGTGCCGCAATCTTGCCATTTATTGAAGAAGAAATTCTGTTAGATTCTGTGATAAGGATAAAAAAATCTCCAACTGGGACAATCTCCATTATAATATAGAAATGACCAACACATTGTTTTTACGTAGTCATTGGCTCGATTTGAGAGTGTTGCTTCGTCAAGATCAAGATTATCTGACATTCGACTACTTCTTCTTCTTAATGGATTGGAATTGATAATAAATTCCAAACACTCAAAGAATTGATGTAATCTGTTGAAATCGATTATCGGTTGTTGTTTTTGTCTTTTATTTGTGATGTAAGAGCCATTGGCCATATCAAAATATGTACTATAAGCTTGAAACAATAGATCAACAGATGCCTCACCAATATGCTTCAATCTTGGCATAAAATCATTTCCAAGTAGACTGACAAGAAATACAAAATCATCAATTAAATTATTCTCATCAACCCCTCCATCATGTATTGAAACTTTATTAGGGTTATTATTATTTAACATATCAACAATAATGTGCCGGCGTAGCTTGTGAATGTTCACCATTACACTATCACCAACAACTCCTGTTCGTAATATACGTATGTTAGGTTCATTGGTTAACAATGCGTACATTATAAAATCTGCATCACTTCCACATACAACATGTCGATTCCTTGAATTGTAACCAGGATGTGTACATTGTGTATTCAAATATCTAAAAATTTTGTGTTCACCCTCACCTGGTACTTTAGAATCATTAAATATTATTTGAAGTGTTTTATACTTCCAATTCAAACGTTGATATATATAATATCTAATTGCTTCATTTGCTGCAGCCATAAAATCTGTTCCTGCTGAAATTGAAACGGAATCTATTGGGACAAAAAATCCTAAATTTTCACTATTTTTTATATTATCACCGCTACCACCGTTACTGTTTCTAATTTGGTTATGTATATTGAAGTTATCATTTTGATAAACATATCTTCGTGATCTCTGTTCATTCATCTTAGCCCTTGGTGCAACACCATCCATTGCAATGTAAACAAGCTGTGGCTTACATTTCTCAATAGTAAAATCCATTTCATGAAATACTCTTGATAACATTTGACGCGGATTTTTTGGTTTTCTTGATTGATTTTTAGATAATGCAATATGAAATAGAGCATTAATATCTAAATATAAAAAATCGGCTTTATTACTTTTTGGAGTTATTTTTTTTTTCGTTGCATCAACTATATGAGGATAACGTATATAAAGCCTTTTGAAAAGACCTGGAATACCCATTTTTTTAAAAAAAATTTTTTTGATAATTTCGATAAGTGGATGATCGCACAAATATTACGCCCAGATATATATTTATTATATTAATAACAGAAAGTTTTACAAATTTACACAAACACACCAAAAAACCTTTTTTTTTTTTTTTTTTGAA